TGGAGGGTCAGACGGAGGGAGGAGCCTAGACGGATGGAAGGATGGAGAGTCAGACAGGTGGAAGGATGGAGGGTCAGACAGAGGGAGGGAGGAGCCTAGATGGATGGAAGGATGGAGGGTCAGATGGAGGGAGGAGCCTAGACGGATGGAAGGATGGTGGGTCAGACGGAGGGAGGAGCCTAGACGGATGGAAGGATGGAGGGTCAGACAGGGAGGGAGGAGCCTAGACAGAGGTGTGGTTGGATGAACAGATGTGGGGTGAACAGGGTAAGATACCCAGCTCCGGATGTCTCCCTTCCAGCACTCCCCATCCTCCCCACCCCAGCTGTGTGTTGCCATTGCCTCTGTGGCAGGCTGCGAGCTGGTTGCTGGGGGCAGTGGGGTTGGGAGATTGATAATCTCACCCTCTGGACAGACGTGCTTCCGCTCCTAGTTAGCAGAGACTGGGCAATAGGGCCCAGCTGCACTACGGTGACTTACTGCCTGTGGCCGGAGGGACTCCAGAGGCTCCTAGCCCACACGGCTCCCAGCTCCCCAGCGCACAGGGCTCCGGGAGAATTTGCAGCGCACGGTGGGAACTGAAAGGCCCTCTGACGCGGTCACCGGCAGCAGCAGGAACTCCTGCGGGGGGGGATGCGCCGGCGGTGGGGTTTTGAATGCTGCTTCGGCTCCTCCGGGCCGGGAGTAACAGGGCGCTGTCTCTCGCAGGCACAGCTTCATGAGCACGGATCAGCTGTCGGCGGAGATCAGCCTGAGCTCGGATTCCCAGAGGCTGGGGGAGGACAAGCAAGAAGGAGAGCCCTGGGGGCCATTGGGTAAGCCCACGGGCCCGGGGAGCGGGTCGGTGGGTGGAAAGGCAAGCCGCCTTTGGGAGGGCTGGGAGGCAAGAGTTACCTATTAGTAGACTCCTGGGGTTGGAGGAAGACCCTAGCACCTGTCTGCTGGTACGAGAGGCCTGGGAATTTAGAGGTGAACCTGGAAGTGGAACCCAGGCATCCTGCCTCCCAGCTCCTTGACCTAACCCCCAGCCTGCATTCTGCGGTGATCAGCCCCAACGGAGCTGGACCAATTTAGACGGGAAACACGGCGTACGTTTGGGGTAATTATCCATTGGAACAACTTACCGAGGGGGGTGGTGGATTCTCCATCCCGGGCGATACTTAAATCCAGACTGGATGTGGTTCGAAACCCTCTGCTCTCGGAATTGCTTGGGAGGAGATCTCCGGCCTGCGTCACGCAGCTCGGGCAAGGTGAACGCAATGGTCCCTTCTGGCCTTGGACTCTAGGAATCTGTTACACTGTAGGAAGCTGGCTTGGGGCAGTTCCTGTAGGATGTAGAGGTTAGAGCCAGGGGAACGGGGAGCCAGGCCTTGGGGGAGGGCTCCCTGGCTTTCAGAGGGAGTGGGGTCTAGTGGTGAGAGCAGGAGACTGGGAATCGGGGCTCCTGGGTCCTAGTCCTGGCTCCGCCACTGACTTCCAGTGGGACTTTGGACAAGTCACTTAGCACCTTGTCCCCTCTCCGCCAGGAAAAGCGCACAGGGATTTTTGAACGGCCTGGGTTGGGCAGGGCCCCTGCTCTGACCTGCCCTCTTTCAATTCCCCTCTGCCCTCCAGGGAAGGACCCCACCCCGTCCATGCTGGGGCTCTGCGGCTCCCTGGCCTCCCTCCCAAGCTGTAGGTCCCTGGCCAGCCTGAAATCTAACGAGTGCCTGGTGAGTGACAGCAACGAAGCCAGCCCCGCCCACAGCCCCAGTTGAGACGCTGTGCGGCGCCACTCGTCCTGGGATCGGCGGGTCCCACCGGGGAGCCAAGAGGCGAACCAAGGAGCCGCCACCATCTCGAACCAAGGGGACCAATGCGACAGGCAAATGGACCTTACTGAACTTCTTGAGGGGCTGGGGCAGCCAGCCACACCCCTGGCTGATTCGCTGCATCCTTACAGGCGTGGGCCCCATTCCTCCCAAGGGACGCTTAACCGAGTACTTCATATCCTATGCTTGTACGGAGCCGGAAGGGTCCCGATGTGCTTTGTGATATGTGCCGCATAGAGCGGGTCACTGCACCTGACTGCAGAAAAGCAGCCACCTCTGGGGTGGACCAAGGCAGCGGTTTAACCGCCGTGCTGTACAGCAGCTGAAGGACAGGGCGTGAAGAAGGATCCTGCAATTGGCTGAAATTGCAAAAGGGGGAGGAGTTGGGGGGGGGGACGGACCAGGACATAAATCCTGCATGCGGAGCTTTCGCTTGGCTGGAAAGGGTGAAGAGTGGAGGCGGGGTGGGGCACTGTCACATGACCATGGCCTCCCCTTGGGGCACGCCCGTGACAGTGTCCCACCCTGTTTATCACTGCTGTGGAACCAGCTGATTGATGCCTCCTCCCATCAGGACACTGTATGGCCCCCTAGGCACATGAGAAGCCGAAGGGGGCTTGTGGGGCAGGGGAAGAGCTGTCAGCTGTTACCTGCTTCCCTCAGCCCTGCACCACAGCCTTGGACTCTTGTGCCCTTCTGCCAGGGGCCAGATGCTTTGACAAAGTGGCTTTGCAGCCCGAGGGGCTGTCTGCCCCGTGGAGGTGAGACCCCCCAAACCGCTCCCTCCTCCAGTTTTGTGTGCCCAGCAACTATCCCCGCCTCGGTGGGTGGAGGGGATTCTGCCTCCTCCACCACCCATGTCCTGCTGCTGCCCTGCGTGTCTCGCTCCCCAGCGCCCCCACCCGGGGCAGGTTGGGCACCCTCTGACGGGGACAAGAGCCCCAGCGCCCCCCTGGCATTTTCTAGCCCCGGCTGGGGGGGAGGCCCTGTCGAAGCAAACAGACAATAAATGCAGATATGAGCTGGGTCTGATTTGGAGTGAGGGGGGGGGGCAGGGGGGGGGGGGGTCAGTGCATTGTCGGGGCCCCTCAGTGCCTGCTCTGCAGACACACGCGTCTCTCACAACCCCAGCTAGACGCGTTCTTTAGCTCAAGCAAAGAGCCTGGGCTTGGAGCTCTGCAGGGCCTGGTTCAATCGCTGGGCTCTTGGCCAGCTGGCGGTCATCGCAGAGAGAGCTAAACGCCCACACAAAATGCCCTGGCAACATGAGCCTGGGCCCGCCAGGGCGCCTGCAGCTGATGGAAACTGGCTCCCGAACGAGGGAGTTGCGGGGGGACGTTACGGTGAGAATTTGAGTCATGACCACTCAAGCGGGGTGCCCCAGGGGTCATGGAGGTAGGCGCATGCACCCACCCTCCGAGCCTGGCGCAAGGGTGCCCAGCTCCTCCGCCACTAGCCACCGTGCCCCTCTCCATCACAGCCAAGCCATTCAGATGCAGCCCCTGATTTTAGGAGCCCCCCGCAAGGTGCCTTGCGGCCTGATTTTCAGAGAGCGCTGAGCCCCCGGGCAACTGCTCGCAAAGGCCGGTAGTCGATGGGAGCTAGCGGTGCTGAGCGCCAATGCAACCCAGGCTCCTCGTGAGCTCTCCCGTTGGGCCCCTGCAGGCAGCAGCCATTTGGGGGTCGTGTTGTAGCAGCCTGCGGAGGTACAGGTGCAGCTGCCCTCATACCTATCCCTGGAGCTACACCTGTGGGCTCCACACTCCCGGGGTTAAGCTGATGTCTGCTCAAGCTGTCCCGGAAAGACCTCAGCCGGCTGCAAACAGCGCTGGGCCTGCTACGGGCATGTCCGAGTGTGGTGCCCATGATGCCGCTGGAGCAAAGGGGGAGGCTTGCGGGCCCGGGCACTGGTCACGTCAGTGCTTGAAGGCAAGGAGCTGAGGCGCTCTCCGTGTCAGGTCAGGGGCTTCACCAACCAGCGTCCCTCTCTGGGGTTTTCTCTGATCCACCCCAGCCTTATGGAGGGGACGCTCCTGCCTGGGTGCCCATGGCATTCCTGCAAGGGGGGGAGTTGGCTTGTCTGCCTCCTAGCGCAGCTGGGGGCACTAAAGGAGGCTCTTCGGCGGAGGATGCTCTGGGAGGCTCAGTGTACCGGTAAGGGGGGAAGGAGAGGCGAGGGACAACCCTGGGGCAGCCGCCTTCACCCCTTGTTAGCCAGGGCCCAGCAGGGAGCTGCTGAGAGGAAGAGGTTTGCAGAGAGCCAGGATTCCTCTTGCTGTGTGCAAGGTGCTCATATTCCTGCAGGCTGGGGGGGGGGAGCCCCTCGCATTACTCTAACCTCAGGCAGGAAGTAATGGAGGTGGGGGTCCGTGTAGATACAGCAGAGCGGCAGGGCAGGACTCCAGTGACCAGGCACCGCAGGGATAACCATGGGGCAAGGTAGGGGCTTCACTGCTCCACGTTCCCCAGTGCCAGCTGACCGGGGGCGGAGAGGGGGGGAAGCAGCTGAAAAGGAGCCATGCTGCATCTGCAACTGAGCAGGGGACACAACAGGAAAACACCAAGGGCAGAGAGCAGCCCAACTCTGGGCTTGGGAATCCTGCTTTTCGGCCAAGCCCTCCCACAGCCTAGCCCCTTCCACTCCAGGGTCTCAAGGCCCTTCCCAGCGATCAGGTGATTGGCACAGTCCCTCATGTGAGACCAGGCGGTATCACCCCACTGACTACAGCAGGGAAACTGAGGCACACAGGGGCAGAGCTGAGATTACAACCAAGATCCCCTGAATCCCATCCCAGTGGCCCCCTCCAGGTCTGAACCCCACCACGGGGTGTGTGTGTGTCAGTATCACAGCTTTGCTGCTGAACCTCGTTTGGCTGGAGCCAGGGTAGGGCAAGGCTGGGGGAAGCAGGCACTGCTCCAACTCTGGCCCTGGAAAAGAGGAAGGGCTTGATCCACTGAAGGTAGAAAGCCCTGCCCCATGGAGAACCAAGGGGTGGGGTGGTGGTTTATTCAGCCCCCCCACCCCCCCCATTTCCTCACAACTCTGACAATAGCTTGAAAACCCGCAGGTGGAGAGATGCAGCAAGCAGGATGGGCAACAGCCCCCCCGCAGAACAGGCAGGGAAGGGCATGGCACTGCCACCCCCATGAGTGGGGCTGTCTTGCAGGACACACACACACACACACACACACACACTCTCTCTCTCTCTCTCTCTCCCCTCCCCTGCATTATGGCAGCAGGAAACAGGTGGGGCTGGGTTGTGTCCTGCTCCACCAGCTCAGACACACACACTCCTCGTGTCCCATCCCGTCCCCCCCATTTGCGGTTTCTTACAGCCCCACCCCACCGAGCTGGCTGGAGGATGGGACAGTCCCCAAACACCCCAGCACAGCCTTTGCAGAAGGGCTCTCTGGGCCCCACGTCCAGATGAGGAGAGAGCGAGGGGCAGGGGGGGCTTTGGAGTTCCCCTCTTTGGGGCACAGTCAGGGTGCAGAGACCCCAGCAGGGATCCCCTTGGTTAATGAAGGGCCAAGAGATTAACCAATCAATTCCCACCCTGCACAGACACTGACAGGAAGTACCGCTCCCACGCCCCCCCATCACACCATGATGCACAACAAGCCCTCCCCAGCAGAGATCAATGGCTGCTCATTGCAGGAGGCCAAATCTTAGCCCCTTGCCAGCAGCTGGCAGAGCAGCCCATAGGCCCCCCCAGCAGCTGAGATGATGGAGGAAGACCAGGCAGGTGGGGAAGGGAAGGGGGGGGCGCGCAAGGGTTTTCAGGCACAAATTTCACATAAAATGTCTTTTATTGAAGGAAGTCGGCACGAATCCCCACTCCTAGAACCAGCCGCAGGCATGTGCGTTACCCACAGGAAGGAGGATGGCTACTTGTCCGGCTACTGACCCTAAGAGGATGGGGGCGCTTTGGCATGGAATCTCTGCCCTGGAGATTTCACACCTTTGTCAGCAGCAGGGAGGAAGGGGAGCCCTGGAGGGGCCCAGCGGGTGGTGTCCATTACCAGCAGCACGGTGTCTTGTCGGAGCATGGGCCACCTGGGGGGCTGAGCCCCAGAGCTCTGCCTTCCAGGGGGCAGATAGGAATGGGGAAGTCCTGAGTGGAAGAAGCCATGGTGCTACCTGGGGGGGGACTGGCCTAGAGTCCAGGGTACAACTATCCTTTGTATCGCTGTCCCGCAGGGAGGAGGCCTAAGGGACTGGGGTGTGCGGAGAGGGCATGAGGTGGGTTAGGACCTAAACCCAGCCAGCAGCAGGAACAGATGTGGAGAGACTCCGAGCAGGAGGGGCTGTTGCCCTTCGTGCCCCAGTCGCTCTAAGTCTTTGGAAGAGAAAGGCTCTTGGTCCGTGGCAGCGGATCCCCTCACTTGGAATGCCAGGGGTTGTCCTGCTCCCCCCCCAGGCTGGGCAGGGAGGGGGCCCTCTGCGTTCGCCAGAGGACAACTCCGTCGCTCCCACTACAGCTTATTTCTGCCCCCCTCAAGGGGCCAGCGCAATCAGATGCCAGGAGCAGGGCACCCACCGCTGGGGGGGGCTCTTCACAGGCTGGAGAGCGGCCCCCGGCAGGCACAGGCAGCCTCCAAACCATGAACGTGTCAGTGGGGAAGGGAGGGTGGAGGTGAGATGTTGTCAAAGGCAAACAGGCCTGACCGTTCTCAGCTGGGAAGCACCGTGGTGCCCACGCTGCTCTGACAGCCTCTCTAGCTCGCCCCCGGGGAGGCAGCCGGGAAACCCGCTGAGGTGGATGCAGGAAACACAAGGAGAGAGCGAGACTAGAAGGCACTTGGACGTTGCATATCCCAGCCCAGGGCATGTTGGGGAAGAAGCTGTGGCTAGCAGGGAGGTCTGTTCCCAGTGGATCTCAGCAGGAGCCGAGAGGTAGGAAGGCAGAACCGCCGCTGTCGCCCCCAGGAAAGGAGGCTGGATG